CCCCTGGCTGCCGCCAAGAGGAGAACTAGATCAAGGCAGAGGCTACGGAACTCTGCCCCTTGAGGAAACGGAGCTTGGCCCGCGACTCCGAGATGATCATATTCCCGCAATGAGAAGATGACTCATCCACAAACGCCATCTCAGCGTGCTACATGCCCAGGCACGCGAGGCAGCAATCGTGACAATCACCCAGCGCCAGGTAACGACTGCATCCAGAAACGCCCGGGTGATACCCGTAAACAGTGATTCTGTCCTAATTCCCTTACATATTAATGGTGGAGTTCCCTTTAAAATCTTAAATGATTCCCTTTGAGCTAAATTGACCTGTTTCCCTTACAGTTGCCACGCAACGTCGTCTTTAAAAAGACGCACCCGAAATTGCTCTTTTAGGGGAAAAAGCTCTTTTAGCGTGCTGAGGCGCACAGGGGAGATGATCATCTGCAACACAAACAGGGGGTAGTGCAGCCTGATGTGTGCAACCCACTCGACACAGGAAACCACCACTGCTGAAGCGCCGTACCGCCAACACGAAGAGCTCTCCAAGAGCGCACTGAACTCGTTCAGTCTTCTTCCTCTCAGTAGAGTAGTCAGGAGCAGAACGATGTGATCGCTCGGCTCCGAAGCGAAAAGCTGAATATGCGCGGCATCTGCTGCCTACTTATACTCACACTGTGATCAGCGGCAGCTGGATGCAATAATCGCATGCCAATGTGCATTGGCTCGTTTAGTTTACACTCGAAGTAGATTGGTCTCTCTAAGCGAGATCCCAATTTGACATCGAGAGTGACCAACTGAAAGGGAACAAATGTGTATCCGATTAAAATCCACATTTGGAAGTAGCTCAGATCGGATATTAAAAAAATGCGGGTTTTTGTGTTTACACGTGTGCAACAAATTCTGATCTGTGTCAGATGTGAGCGAAAGATCGGATTTTTTTGTGCCAGTGTAAACTCAGACTAAGTACTTCCCATATATATATATAGTTTTTAGTTTGCCTTGATGCACTAAAATAACTACAAATGAAAAAAATATATAAAAACTGGTTATCATTGACAGTTTATTTATCTATTTCATACAGTACGATGCACTAAGGTTAAAGGCAGTTTACTATGAAATATGCTGGTCACTTTATATTTCCTTATAAAAAACTTCAACAGAAAGGCTTATCTAAAATGAAATAACTATTGATTGTTGTGATAAAACTGATTGCCAAGCTTGTAATAGCAATAATAGCATCACTGCCATTAAATAATTTACCTAGTTTAGTAAAACATTGATGACTGTAGACTGGATGTTGCTGGTAGCTTTGCAGGCAAATGCTGAGGTACAGATGGAGATGATGAACTGAGGAATGGTGAACACCAGCATTATTCCAACGACCCGCAATTTCTACAGAACATTCAACATGCAAAAAAAGTATGAAAGTAGTTCCAGAAATAATATTCCATCAATAGGTCATTAAAAAGAAATCAGTCAAACCTGTATGCTTTTCTTTCTTTTGAAGACTGTTTTCCAATTAAAATAAACTGGAGATTTATTTTGGTTTATGCAAGAAAGACAGTCATACAGGTTTGGAGTCATGTACGAGTGAGTAGGTGATGACAGAATTTTCATGTTTTTTAATGAACTGTCCCTTTCAATAAATAGCGGCATTTAAAAACTAAACATTTAAATTAATACACATTAAACATGAATACAAAATATTGCACAGTATGCACGTAATACCTCAGCATGTGAACTTGAATGATCCATTGATATTACTTTTAATTGTATGCCCATCAGTACAATGGTTAGTCCTGCAGTTACAGCACTGACTACATTCATTCCAAGAGAGGCTTTCACCTGCAGGAACACAATGTACTGATTTCATAAAATTACTCAAAGAACAGATCACTGAAAAGGCTTGCATTATTACTTTTAAGCATAAAATCTAGAATCATATCATATCTGAGCAAACAAGGGGGGTTGTAACATTGCAACAGACTGAGGGCAAGACAGGAGGTGAACTCAAATGCAGGATTTACTTAACAGGGGGAGACAACGACAAGGAATGACAGATAAGTATCCAAAGCAGTGAAGGTCAGTGAAGGGTGAACACTGTGATTGTGATGATGATGATGATGAGGAGGAGGAGGGAGAAACTGTGACAAACATAACTTTCCCCATTTACTTCTACTGGACACATAAAGAGTGCACAAATGGGACAATGTACAGCTGCCACTGACAATTGTGACACAGACATTTTTAAAATTGTTAGCCAATGGTTTTTGTATTCATTCATTTTTCTTGTTTGCTTTGTTTCTTTTAGAATAAAATTATGAAAAATGTATTTTTATAAATGGGGACTGTTATAAAAATATGTTTGAAGTATAATTTATTTCTGATTCAAATCTGATGCATGCACAAAATTGAATCAGATGTCCATGTTTTCAGTACAATACAGTAAACAACAGTACGCTTTGTATGTGACTAATTTACACAGGAATTAAAAATATATATTTTAAAAACTTAAATATGGAGCAAAAAGTGTGGGGAAAACATATCCAAGTTTGACATAAATAGGGCAAGAATGAATAACAGATGTTAAATCAAAAAGTGTTACAACCATCCCAACCTTTCAGGTGACGCAAAATCAGTACTTTCAGAAACAATGTGACAAAATAATAGTTAAAATGTGCTAAAATTGGTGGGTGATCCTGTATGTACATACCACACACGGATTAAGTTTTTTCTGCGCAGCAACAGACAGAGAGCCAGCACTCATGTACTGAGAAAGAAACAAAGGAATTTAATTCTGGAAAATAAAATTAAAAGGGAAATAAGACAAAACCATTAAATGAAACTTACAATGAGAGATCCCCAGTAGGTGATGCCACTATAGACAACAATAGCAGAGTATTTGTAGAAATTTGTGGTGTGTAGAATACCAAGTAAGAAGACCATCACTCCAATCATTATCTGTACAGTCTAGAGAGCAGATATAGGTTAGATGTTCCATTCACGATCGCATAAAATGTATGTTATGATACACAAAAATAGAAGATGTATCAATGTTTATTGTACACAGACTAAATTAAATTAAATATTGTATTATAATATTGTATTAAATATTAGAGATTTCTTTCATTTTAAACAATCTTGAGGAAATTTAATAAGAAAATTCCCCAAACCATATATCATTATAATTAATCACAAAATGCATTACCCCCAGTGCCTTTGGTTGCGCTTTTAAAAATCCTTTAAGAGTTGTATTGAGATTTGTTCCTCTGGCCTGCTGTCCATCAACAAAAATAATACTGTCTTTTGCCTCCTGTGGATTTATTTGGATGACAACTGTAGTTTTCTCAGTAGAGATGACCTTGCATCTTTCCATTTTAGACAAGTTTTGGATTTCACCTGTAATAAGTATGTTGATGTTTTTCAAGTTCATTAAGAAGTGTGAACAGAAGAAGTTTATTTCTACCTTTTATTAAAAAGGTCTATTTAAAAAAAGACAAAAAGATATGTGCTTCGCATCTATTTTTTATATTCTTTTTTTGTGTTCCTGATATATACATATATGCTCTGTTAAAACATCGCTATTCAGATTCATATACTATACACATGATAATCATTTTATTAAATTTTTATGAGCCTTTTGATGTCTTTGGAGTTCTTCTGATGGTTTTGTAGCATAATATCCAACATTTAAACGGAGATTATAGTACCAAGCAATAAATGAGCAAGAACATACACTAAAACAATAATATTAGTCAAAACGTTAATTTAATTTATGTATCAAAATTGAAACAGACAATATAACAAAATAATAAAAAAAGAACATGAATGTTAATTCATAAAATATTTTACCTGAAATGAGATTTGTTGACATCTGGTAGATCTTTTGACGTATCTTTGTGTGTGTGTGTGTGTGTGTGTGTGGACTCTTTGTAGAACAGTTGGGAGGGGCTAGAAAGTTTCTTTTGATGGCCAGCAGCTTCCTAATACAAAGCACTTTACATATAAATGAAAAATAAACAAGGCAGAATGTTTCTCTGTCCCTCTAAATAGAAAATACATTAACATTTTAATACAGGTACTGCACAAACGAGACTATTTCGGGTGAATTTGGAGCAGGTGGGGGGGCTGAGTGACCTGAGAATGACCTTTAAATAAATATGTTATATCTAACAAACCAAAGCAGCACAAACGAAATTTTTTACAGCACAAACCAGCACAAACGATTGAGACTATTTTTGCGACTTTTGCGTTGGGTGGGGGGCCAACTTCACGGAGGTTACTAACGCTACTACTACTACTAATAATAGTAACAACAACAACAAACAATAATATAATAGTTAAACTGTCAAAATAGGAAATAATAATTTAAAACATTTAAAATGTACGCTCTGTAATCAGTGTGTGCTGGCATCTTTGTCTCAGCAAAGCAGAATTATGAATGTTTCTATGCTGGGTGTTACTATTGGCTTGTACATGGGAGGCCAGGACCACCACTAATTTCAGTAATTATGCCTAAAAATATTTAGAGGTACCTACTTTTTCTGTCACTTCCATGCCATGCCGAATTGAGGCAGTAATTAAAGCAAAAGGAGCCCGTACCAAGTATTGCAGTGGTTCTCAAACCTGGAGGTACGTGAGATGACGGAGGGGGGTATGCGAACAAAATTCAGAGTTTTGGCATTCATTTAATTCTACCCCAACTTAAAGTAACATTAAAACCGAACGTATTTCTGACAAGCAAAATGCCGCTTTTAATGTAAAATCAGGAAAATGGGAGTGCCGTAAACGGTCAAATACATGATATCCAATCAGCTTACCTCATCTTTTGCGGTCAAAACTGATGCATCCACACAAGCAGCATGCATGTGATAGGATGTCCGCTGAATATGCTGCTTTAGCAAATCGCGCTGATGTTCAATGTATCTTTAAAGTAGATCTTCACTTAATAGCATGAAGAGCAAATATTGACACGGACTGAGATCAATTTAAACTCTCTTCGATACAGACACACTCTGTGCGTGTTATTGTTTTCATGTTTAAGAGCAAGAATGCAAATTTACCTGAATATCCAAATGATGGCAAATGTGGCATTCATTTTTTACAACAGTTCAACAAAAAAGGTAATATTAAGAGAACATTTTACATTTTAAATGTAGCCTACATTTTAAACCGAATATTGTCATGTTTGTTCTATTTTGCAACGAAATATCATCTGGTGTGCATCTCCAGGCAACAGCGGTGTTTCATTAGTGAATTAATATGATGCTTTGAATGATTTGGAGAGTGATTAATAACCCATTCATAACTACATCATTTTGCTTCGTTACTGAATGAATGACGCGATGCCTGGCTCAGTAAGACAGCTATACTTGCCGCCATCTATGGCAGTTTTATTTTTAAATCTACAAGTATCACTTCAATTTGCCATCATTTATTGCTTTATTTATTATATTAATAATACACATAATGGAATGTTAAGAATATGATATAAAACATGACATACAATTAATAAGAATAGAAAATATTTTCCTCTATAAAGGTAAAAAAATGCATCTGTAAATCAATTTAAGGGGGCAAATATTGTCCTTTAATAGAAAAGGTGTGACTGCTGTCTAAGTGGAAGAGAGGGGGTACGCAGAAGAATGTTAAATGCCCCAGGGGTACGACGCTGTAAAAAGTTTGAGAACCACTGAAGTATTGAGTACATGTACAGTAAATGAACATACTTTCCAGAAGGCCAACAATTCACTAAAAATGTTTTTTTTATTGGTCTTATGAAGTATTCTAATTTGTTGAGAGAGTGAATTGGTGGGTTTTTGTTAAATGTGAGCCAAAATCATCACAATTAAAAGAACCAAAGACTTAAACTACTTCAGTCTGTATGCACTGAAAGTATTTAATACACGAGTTTCACAATTTGAGTTGAATTACTGAAATAAATGAACTTTTCCACGACATTCTAATTGATTGAGATGCACCTGTACATTAATACATAATGATTATTGGTGGGGTTTCACTGCAAAACAACACAAAAAATGTAGCAAATATTGCAATGAAAGATCCCCAGGATCAATCACCACCCCTTGCTCTCAAAGATGATTTAATGACTTTGGCTGTGCAGTTAATAGAATTGTAGTTTCCTTTTTTTCAGTTTGGCTTACAACAATTATGAAAACAGGGTACACTGTTGCCTTTCCTACACAACATCCAAATCAGTCAAATCATGTAAAGTGACTGTTGAGCTCTTGCCGGATGTGAGTGTGAGGCTCAACTCCATAGACTCTAAAAAAGCTGGATGACACATCTCCACTCCCTTTCACAATATAAAAGTGAAGTAAAAATGTCCCAGGTATGACCGCTCTCATTTTGCGCCAGTGATGTCTTTTGGAGCGGAGTCTGCACAGCAGTGATCATTAGCTGGAACTGTGGTATCAAAGTCTTGCCCAAACTCCTACAGACCCAACTGCAATTGCACAATCATGATGCCACATCCTGTTTAATAGCATTAAATAAGTAACTAAAAGAAAAACTTTTAGAAAAAACTTCAAGAAAAATTGTTCTTGAACATATAATATCAAAGTCATAAGAAATACCTTTGGGAAAAATTTATTTGAAGTGTGATTTGATGTTTTAGTTTGACTCATGTCCCATTCGTAAACATGGAGAGGGCAGGGTTTAGGACCTATACTGCAGTCAGCAACCAGGGGATGTTCGAAACGGTTTAAATGGCGTTTTGTTTTGTTCTCTCTCCGTGTTCATGCAACGCCGACGTACTACGTCATCCGCCGGAAAGGCTTCAGCGTATGACAGATACCGGAAGCGAGAGAAAAGTGTTTATTACATTTGAAATATAGATATTTTCTCACAAAAACACATGGATTCGCTACAGGAGGCTTTTATTCACCCCCCGGAGCCGTGTGAGGCATGTTTTATTATGAATGCGCAAGCTTTATTTGATGACTTGTGGACTGTTCAACTGCAACACCCACTGACTGCAATGATAGAACTTGAAATAGCCAGGACAATTTTTAATATAACTCCGACTGGATTCGTCTGAAAGAAGAAAGTCATATACACCTAGGAGGCTTCGAGGGTGAGTAAAACACAGGCTAATTTTCATTTTTGAGTGTACTAATCCTTTAAGGAGATGGGTTTTTTTTTTTTAGTTTTTTGTGACTACCCTGGCCCCCTGACAAAGTTTTGCTTATGGCCTCCAGAAGCCTTGGCCCGGCACTGGAAAGTCCCCATAAAAACTTCCCATGAAACCACAAAACTGTGTGTGTGTGTGTGTGTGTGTGTGTGAGACACATTACAGTTCAGTCTTTGAGCTACTGCCCCCAGATGGCACATTTTAGATAACACAAATGTTTTCACCTTGTTTACTGACTTAATTTAAAAAATGCTGTACATATACACACTGTTCCTGATGAAAGTAGAAGTTTGTATTATATGTGGCATTCAGTGTTTATATAATAGTTTATTACCATCCACACAAGCCTTCTCCCTTTCTTCAACAAAAATCAATCTAAATGTGAACTGAGTTTGGCTTTCTTAATAAGCTCTATAGACCTACAGACTCTCATCAATGTTTTTACACATTTCATTAAATGGATTTTATCTGTTAATTTTATGAACAGTAACCCTAAAAAAATTCAAAATTCAAAATACAAATAAAACACCAGTAAAAAAAATTCATATTAATATAGTACATGGTGCTCTATTTTTACATTTTTTTTTTTCCAGAATGTAATCAATGAAAAAAGTTTAAATAATGACAGCATTCATTCATTCATGTTTAATTCAAAGTCAGGGTAGGCCTACTTATTATTTATTCTGAAGGAGCATGTTTGATTTAGTTTATTGCTAAATGTTAATCATGCTGTCTAATCAGCATCTTGATATGCCACACCTGTGAGGTGGATGGATTATCTCGGCAAAGGAGAAGTGCTCACTAACACAGATTTAGACAGATGTGTGACCAATATTTGAGATAAATAGGCCTTTTGTGTACATAGAAAAAGTCTTAGATCTTTGAGTTCAGCTCATGAAAAATGGGGGCAAAAACAAAAGTGTTGCGTTTATAATTTTGTTCAGTATATATTAAAATATATATAGGTTGTTGGGATAAAACTGACTGCCACTCTGGTTATAGCAATTATATCATTACCACTAAATAATTTACCCAATCAGTGCCACATTGAGCATTCTTGTGCCTGTGTTGCTGGTGGCTTTGCAGGCAAATGCTGAGATAAAGTTGGAGATGATGAACTGAAGTATGGAGAATACCAGCAATATTCCACGGATCCCCAGATCATATCTCTAAAAAAAAAAAAAGTCAACATGCCCATATCAAAATAGTTTCACAAATAATATCCATCAATTATATTGAGTGATTTTCTAGTATTATTACATGGAGGCATCATATGGCTTTCGAACACTTCGAACATGTGGATACTTTTGTGGTGCAGATGCATCATTTTGAAGCATGGAACCTCCAGTCTATAGTCAGTGTAATTGTATGAAAGTTAGCGACCAGGGGCCCGTTCTTCGTACGTTGCTAACTCAGTTAGCTGGATTTGATTGTTGCTGATTTGGCATGATTTTGGATTATTTGGTTCTTCGAAGCTCATCCCGGAGCTGCTGTCATAGCAACAGGTCCGTAAGCTTAAACCTGCTTGGGATCAGGCTTATTTCATGTAAAAAGGATTAGATCGCATCTTTTTAAGCAGAACTGATACTTAAAAATCTGTCCGCTACCACCGCTACTTTATTACAAGAGAATCATACTGATCCAGGGACAATAATTTAAAATAATAATCATTTAAAAATTAATTTTTAAATAATATAATAATATCGTGTAGTCTAAATAGACACAGCCAGTTTTACTCACTGAAAGATTTATTTGTCATAAAATTATTACTTCATAATTGTATTCAAGTCTTACACACATGCTATACAGATAATGTAGAGTTGTGCATTATTTGAGTGGTGACAGATATTATGGGAGTGGCTTGATGGAGTGCAGGAGATGCAGATAGCATGATCTAGAAAGAAACTTTAAATAATGCTGGCACATAACAAATCTGTTCAAATATAAAATTAAATGAATTGCTAATTGCTACATTGAAATAAAAATATAAAGCCTGTACAAAAATTAGAAATTGTGAATATAAATAATTGAGAATCATGTAAAAAAAATAAAATAAAAACACATTTCATTTATCTATTATAACATTTATGTAGTTTTGTTCGCTTGGCTGTTTCCTTATAAATGTCCAGAAATTTGTCAAGTTTTTCGTCAGGTGTCTTTTTTAATTATATTACGTCATTACGTTGCTGTCTTGCCGCCAGCCAATCACTGAATTGTTGATCGTGGTTTCGAGTATTGATACATAGCCCATGAACACGCAATTATCTCAGATAACTCAATCCAGCCATACTAATCGTCAACAACAGCTGCGTTCAAAGAACCGAATTAGCCAGATCCTGATTAGCACGATGATATCATCTTGAATGTGACATTTCATCTCGAATGTAATAAGCGATGTACGAAGAACAGGCCCCAGCACAGTGCTTACAAATGAGTAAATGATAACAGAATTGTCATGGTTGCAATATAGGCTCATTGAGAAAATGACTCGTAGAAACTACAATGGCATGGTTTCTTCAGCAAATAAATTTTTATCTCACGGTTGCTTTTGTTAAGACTATTGCTTATGTTTAGGGTAGGGTTTACTTTTTAAACTCAACAGAGCTTTAACTTTTCAGCACCACTATCTGGGAAATTCATTTCTGAACTACAGATACATACAATAACTAGTGTAATAAAATCTTGCCACATTCATGTTAATCTTTTGTTGAAGAAAATGTAATGCACTTTAGCACCACTCACTGGACATTTCACTTTGAAAGTGTTGTGTAACATACATAAAGTAGCATAAAATCACTTTTCAGAAATGTTGGCATTTAATGAGTAAAACAACAATTAAAAACTATAAATAAATTGCAAAACGATTACAATAAAACAAAGTATTGCACATTATACATTTAGTACCTCGAAAAATGAACACATATGGTCTTCAGTACGAACATAGCCATAGAGGCAACTTCGATACTTGTTGGTCAAGAAGAATGGCAAGTCCTGCAGTTATGGAACTGAGCACATTCATTACAAGAGAAGCTTTCACCTACAGGGAGAAAAGCTAAAAATAAAATAAAAATTACATACAGGAACAGTAATGGCATAGACTTGCAAAATATTTTAAACTTTTTAAATTATTTTTTTTCATTGTCTTGATCTGGTAATAAAAAGAATGTCTCATTGAGCTAAGTCAACAGAAATTGACGTCTAGAGAAAAAGCATCAGCTACACAATTTGCACTCTTTGATACATTTTTGTTAGGAAGTTGTTAGTAAGCACAAAGCTTAGTAGCTGTACTTGTAGCAGGCCTTTCTCTTGCTGAACACCTAAAACAGGGCAAAGCATCAGTGCAACAACAATAGCAGAATGTGCAAGTTTCAGAATACTGTGGTAAAAGAGTTTACAATGGAAGTATTATGCTTGCCCTTTATTCCTTTTACGCAAATGTATCAGTTGAGTAAAGTGTCTAAAAACCTCCTTAAGTATGTTGTTTTTACTTATCCATGAATGCATGTTTGTAAAATCCATTCTCACTTGCAAGTCACCAAAATGTTGTAATGTGCTGCTGAAATGGATATGTACATACCACACACGAATGAAGTTTATTCTGAGCAGCAACTGTCAGAGAGCCAGCACTGATGTTCTGAGAACGAAACACAAGGACATTTCAAAGTTTCTGAGAATTAAAATCAGAGACAAAGCAAAACAACAGGTTACTGTTTGTAACCCCAGCTCTCTGAAACAACGAGTGGGGAGATCCACCTATGGGAAGGGCATCCGTGCCTCACCTCTGCAAAACAATTATTTTTATATAATTGTTGACCGGGGTCATCAGGGGCCCCGCAGCCCCACACGTTTCAGGACACACAATCCAGACTACACGATCCAGGCCGGAAGTAAGGGGCGGAGTTAGTAAAACGTAACAACATGGTGGAGTCATTTTGTGATGAAAAATTTGTTCAAAAGTTAAATGTTTATGTTATAAATACTGTTTATGTGCATGCCTTTCACGTTTTATTTCTGAAGCTTTGAATTGTTGTCATCCTTTACCACTTTCGGTACTTTTCTGTGGACAGTTTGATTACGTTTTAGGTTGTTTGTTGTAAATGGGCTTTGCGATAAAGCCACTTTATGGTTTGAATTTATTACTTTTTTATACATTTAATGCTTTCTTATAATTCTATTAGTTTCATTGTTTGTTGGTTTATTTTATGCTATTCTAGAGCATTGTAAGTTTGTTATTGACTTTTTCAAATAACAGAGAACAGGTAAGTTTTATTAAAGCTGCTTTTCTGAAATGGCTCAAGACATAATTGTGTAACTTGTGCAATGGTATGTCATTGTAGGGAATGGATGTGTGGACAGCTGACGCATATGTTGTGGCTACCTGGTTACCTCCAAATAATTTGGACCCATCACTGTCTTTTCCAGTAAGGCCATAAAGTTACATCACATTCATAATACTGAAAATGTAAAAAAAAAAATTATTAAAAAAATTATTTAAAAAAAATTATTTAAAAATTATCTATAGGATCACATTGCATTCAAAGATGCTATTGTTTTTCCTGCTTGGAAGCCAGGACACTGGATGTTGTGTGTAAGTTATATGGAATTTGGTTACTAAATATATAATTGCATCTGTAAATTGCAAAACTTCATTTGTCTTGTCACAATTCAAAATTACTATTGCAACCTAATAACACACTGTTTTCCAGGTAATGAAGCCAAAAGATAGACAAATCTACTTAGCTTTGCACATTTTCAGGTTGCTTAAATGTGAAAATGTTCATGGTTCGCTGTTCATAAGGTTTGCCTTCAAATGTTCAAAATGTTGGCTTAATGGTTATTTGGATGTTTGCATGATGTTCTGAATTTGCATGTGTGTGACAATTGTTTTATTTTCTGAAAGGCCCAGTTACTGGGGGCTACTGTTTTTGCAGATTTTCTTTGTATTCATACTCTTTCATATGAACTTTGTTGTTATTATTTGTGTATTTTTGTTTCAGTAAGATGACAGCTACAATTGCACCTGGCACATGGATGCTACTAAAAAACAAGGTTAGTTTTGTAATTGGGACATACTGTATGTCAATCTCTTACACACAACCTAAATATTTTTCTTTTTCATTTTTTTTAAGGATGTCCCCCAACAGATTGGCTATGTGGACTGTGGAGTCTTCATGTTGATGGTAAGGCAAATCACGTTTTGCTATAAATAAACTAATGCTTGTCTTCCAATTTAATGTATTGACTAAATCAGTTTGTTTTTTCTGGGATCCCTAAACAATGGCATTGCTATCTTTCGTGTCAAGGAATTTGGCTGCAGTTGTCGTATTCCTCTTGTTAAGCCACTCCTGAACCACAGACAACATCAGAGGCGTCTTACCTGGTCTAAGGAGAAGAAGAACTGGACTGTTGCCCAGTGGTCCAAAGTCCTCTTTTCAGATAAGAGCAAGTTTTGTATTTCATTTGGAAACCAAGGTCCTAGAGTCTGGAGGAAGGGTGGAGAAGCTCATAGCCCAAGTTGCTTGAGTTCAAGTGTTAAGTTTCCACAGTCTGTGATGATTTGGGGTGCAATGTCATCTGCTGGTGTTGGTCCATTGTGTTTTTTGAAAACCAACGTCACTGCACCCGTTTACCAAGAAATTTTGGAGCACTTCTGGCTTCCTTCTGCTGATCAGCTTTTTGAAGATGCTGATTTCATTTTCCAGCAGGATTTGGCACCTGCCCACACTGCCAAAAGCACCAAAAGTTGGTTAAATGACCATGGTGTTGGTGTGCTTGACTGGCCAGCAAACTCACCAGACCTGAACCCCATAGAGAATCTATGGGGTATTGTCAAGAGGAAAATGAGAAACAAGAGACCAAAAAATGCAGATGAGCTGAAGGCCACTGTCAAAGAAACCTGGGCTTCCATACCACCTCAGTAGTGCCACAAACTGATCACCTCCATGCCACGCCGAATTGAGGCAGTAATTAAAGCAAAAGGAGCACCTACCAAGTATTGAGTACATGTACAGTAAATGAACATACTTTCCAGAAGGCCAACAATTCACTAAAAATGTTTTTTTTATTGGTCTTATGAAGTATTCTAATTTGTTGAGATACTGAATTGGTGGGTTTTTGTTAAATGTGAACCAAAATCATCACAATTAAAAGAACCAAAGACTTAAACTTTATAAAATTGATTTAAAACACGAGTTTCACAATTTGAGTTGAACTTACCCTTAACCAATTAATAGTTTTTTTACCGTAGCATTTTTGCAGTCTTTTACTGTTAAAAACGCAATCTTTGTTTAGTGTTGATAAATGCCTTTGTCCAGCCTAATGTCCTAACAAATCACAAAACATTTAAACTGAGTTTTTAGTACCAGTATAACAAAAGAGCAACAACTTACACTAACAGTCACTGGTGTGAAAGATGTTTTTTCAAAACATGATTTTTAAACAATTGTATCAAAAATTGTATATAAACAGACAATATATATAATATATAATATATTGTTTTGACCATATATATATATATATATATTGAAGAAAGATGTCACTTTATAAAATATTTTACCTGAAGTGAGATTAGTTGTGGTAACTCTTTTTGTATCTTTGTGTGTGTGGACTGTGAAGAACAGTTAAGGAGGGGCTTGCTTTAAGGGGTTACTCCACCCCAAAATGAAAATTTTGTCATTAATCACTTGCCCCCATGTCGTTCCAATCCCGAAAAAGCTTAGTTCGTCTTCGGAACACAATTTATGATATTTTGGATGAAAACCAGGAGGCCTGTGACTCTCCCATTGACTGCCTAGTATCAGTCAGAATAGTCCATCTGCCATCAGTGGTTCAACCGTAGCGTTATGAAGCGACGAGAATACTTTTTGTACGAGAAGAAAAAAACGATTTATTCAATAATTTGTCTCCTCTGTGTCTCTCTGCATCACTGTAGCGCAATTTTGGAGAATATCCACTGAACGCAAACTGTGTACGCTATTCTGTGTCAGCCGCGACACAAGGATAAATTTTCTACGTGTATTTACACTTTGATTTGAACGAAAACAGCGCATCCGTGTAGCGCAGCTGACACAGAAGAGCGTACACTGCTTGTGTTCTTGTGGATGTTCTCCAAAATGGCGCTACGTGATGCGGAGAGACACAGAAGAGATGAATTGTTGAATAAAGTGGGTATTTTTGTTTTCTTCGCGCACAAAAAGTATTCTTGTCGCTTCATAAAGTTACGATTGAACCACTGATGGCAGATGGACTATTCTGACGATGTCTTTCATACTTTTCTGGACCTTGACAGTGTAATGTACTTGGCAGTCAATGGGAGAGTCACAAGCCTCCCGGTTTTCATCCAAAATATCTTAAATTGTGTTCGAAAGACGAACGAAGCTTTTATGGGTTTGGAACGACATGGTACCCCATGTAAGTGATTAATAAGTGATTAATGACAAAATTTTCATTTTGGGGTGGAGTATCCCTTTAAGTACAGAAAGTTTCTGTTAATGGTCACCTTCTTCTTAAAATACAAAGCACTTTGATGAAACATGACGTACAAGGCAGAATAACTTATGGCCATTGATGATAGACAATATGTGTTTCTCTTTGCTACAGTAGAGAATGCATTATTAATATATATGCATATGCATTTTGCACAGGATAATAATAATAATTATTATCATTATTTCCAATAGTCATAAATTAACTAATATAATATAATTGTTAAATTGTCAAAACATGACAATAATTTGAGACATTAAAAATACACTATGTAATTCTGTATTTACAGCAAAGCAGAATTGTAAACTAATTAGACATTACAATTGTCTAGTTTGTTTTCTAAAACTAGTAAGAATAATCAAAACTCTGGCACAGCGATACGTATTCAATATACATGCAGTAAATTATTTATAAATTCAATCCAATTAACTAATTGTTTAAATTGTTCAAAGCCCTAGTTACAATATATAACAACGTTTAAAACGTAAAATTACCACGTATTTACTTTAAAAAAAAAAGTTAAATATTTACGAATCTTTTGTATCATCAAGATATTTGTATTGATGCATTTTTTATAATTTTATCGATAAACAATTTAGATTTTTAGACCCCTTAACCTAACCATTTTATAGTGAAAATAAAAAGATATACAACGTAATTGACATGCAGGGAAATGACGTTTAATAACTATATAGCATTAAAAGGTATTTTGAGTCATTAATCCATCTCCTACTACTTAAAAATATGTGCAGTACAAAGAAAAACATGACAGGCAGATAAGTGCAATCACTATAATTTATTTATAACAAAAATATCAACAGCAGTATACCAAAAGTAATCCAAATGACAATGTGTTGCAGTTCCAGCCCTCTCTGGTGGAATACAGTAGTTTTGTGCAGTGGCGGCTCATCGAGGGAGACAGCCTTCCCATAATTTTAAGGTGAAAATGGGAGGAGGACGATTTAATGTTAATAAAATTCACAATTCATGTCTCAGAATGTGTATTTTTTGTTTGTAATTTCACAGTTGTAATACCATAACGTGAAAGCGCTGCTTTTCTATCGCGAATGTGCCGAAACTGCTGATGTAATTGCAACCATTAGGTTATAGAGAAGGGTAGGGGGAGGCCAGGGGAGCGCGGAGCTCTCGTGCCTCCGTTGGTAAAAAAAATTAGCCAATTACCATTGAGTGTTCACTTTCAGCGCTGAGGAGTGTTGAGAAAAGAACCCTCGCAAGGGAGGCTAGCCTCCCTTCTGATATCAACCAATCATCATAGAGACATAATTTACGTGATATTAGTTTGAATGTCTGCCGCTGCGTTGATAATGTACGAAGTACTTATGAGTAGAGATATTTAATATTTGATCGCCAGCAGATTTACCAAGCTGTCATTCAAACAGTATATATACAAATTTAGGGAAAACAGCCTAAGCTAGATATAGGCTAACGTTACAGCAGTCGGCTTAATTTTTTATGTTTATGTCCAAACAGGACATAAACATGGAATGGCTTGGTAAGGTAGCTTACACTTGGAGCAAGACAATACTCGGCAGTGAGAGAGAGGAAGTCCATTGCTTATGTAGCATGTCTGATTGGATTCAGCTGTGTGTGTGTGTGTGATCAGTGCATTCAGCTGTGTGCGTGTAATCAGTGCAATGGTTGATGGGAAATGCGTAGGTGATGTGTAACAGTCTGTGTGGTGTGAGAGTCAATGTAATGGGAGAAGGGTGACCTCTGATGGCAAACAGATGGAAGTTCATGGACCGGATTCGTGACAGGATGGATGTTTGCTTCAAATGATAGGCCAGGTAAGTGAAATTATATTATCTTGCTGTATGTATGTCGTTTTCTTTACGTTTTCTAACTAAAAGCAACCAAAAAGCCATTTTAAAGTGGTTAAGCAAATAATAATAATAATAATCGGCAGGGATCCCAGACCAATACAATTAGTGTGCCTCCTCTATTTTAATACCCACGAGCCGCCACTGGTTTTGTGTGCAGTACAGAGCAGAATTTAAGTTGTTAATCGCTGAAAATATTATCCAGATTATTATTATACTTCTTCTTCTTCTTTTAGTTTTATGGCGAGTTATCCCGATCTACTCCGTGAAGTCGCGTATTTCTCATTCAAACACACCTCACCAGAAACGATTTTACTGCCATAAAGCTTCTTGAAGTGGCAATTTTTTCATCTGTAATGAGAGCAGAAAGATTATGTTTATTGCTATGCGATTTATTTATTTTTTATTTATTTTTAATGTCATTTTTTTTTCTCCTTTCTGAATTCAATTGCTATATTTGCCCGTCCTTGAACCTCTGCATGGCTCTTTTCCATATGTTCACTTTTGTATTCCCTAAGCAAATGTTTATTTAAAAAATTATAATAATAAATAAATAAAAATTGTTACGAGAGTGTCAGTGAGGGTTTATGCTTTTGGTCGCTGCTGAGGATGGAGATGAGGATCGCTGAAAAAATAAAATTGATTCCTTTTGTAATTTTATTTTTACAATTTTTTTTAAACGCCTTTTTGTGTCCCATGGCAAACAAAGTAAATATTACATGATAAGTAATGGTCAAACGATTGCAGATATGTTATTCATTCTAAGGGTTTAAAGTGTAGGCCTAGTCTTTTTGAACATGTACCTTCGAAACAAGTTGGCAGCAGAAATCACACAGCACAGAACGAAACATTA